CGGAGGGCAGAGGGAGGCGTGCAGCCGCCAGCGTTTACAGACAGATGTCATCCACCAGCAAACTGCCACGCCCCGGTCAAGGGCCCTCTGTGGTCCCCAACCAGCACCAAGCCTCCAAAAACCAGGCCCGGCAGTCCCTATCAACTAACCACGTCCTCCGAAACTTGTGTCTAGCGGTTAGTACACAAGGTTCTGAATTTGCCTCCCTTGGTCACGTCAATCCGGCAAGTGGTGTGGTGGTTAGGGGTGCTGGACTCCCACACGGCTGCAGTTTGAGTCCCAGATCTGGCGGCTGTCTTTCTTTCTCTCTGTCCCTCTCTGGTCAAATTAAAATAAATAAATACATGAGTAAAGTTCAGTAAAAATTATTCTACAAAAACAAAAGAAAGCAGAGCTGACTCCTGAGCAATTAGGGTCTGAACCGTGCAGGTCCCTTCCGCGTGGGCTTCCCCAGCACCGGCACTGGCGAACAGAGGACAGCACCTAGTGCAGCTTCTCTTCACTGTTCTCCTAGTACTGTTTTTCTCTTGTTTATTTCCCTCGAGCTCCCCTGATCGAAGAATACAGTGTGCAGTACATGTAACACCCAGAACACATGAGTCAGCCGTGTTACCAGGAAGGCTTCCAGCCAATAGCAGGCTATCAGCAAAGTGCGGAGAGACGACGGTTATTGTAGTCGGATTTCTGACATGTGGGCCCGGTGCCCCAGCCCCTACCCGCTGCTCAGGGGCTAAGGGTAGTGGACCGAAAGGTCGGGCGGGGCGGGCAGCAGGCACTGACCTCCTGGAAGAGCGAGGACATCTCACACACCAGGCAGGAGCTGGGGCTCTGCATCTCACAGCGATGCCGGTCGGACAGGAAGAAGTCACGCAGGAGCGGTGTGTGTGTCAGGGCCTGCACGATGCAGTTCATGAAGCAGGTGTTCCCCAGGTTGATGAGCCCACGCAGGCCTGCAAGGGGCAGAGCCAGAGGGCGGGGTTACTGCACACGGGCCACACGCACGCCCTCCCGTGTCTTCCTTTTCTTTTATCCATTCTTTCCAGAAAAAAAAGCAGAAAGAAGCGGTATTTTTCTTTTTATACTATTTTCATGGATTCTAAAATATGTTCTAAAAAGTGTTTCCTCGGTTCTAAGAAAACTCTCTCATTTCCACACTGCCTCCTCCCTGCAGATCGATGTGCCTGGCTTCAACTGGCCAGCACACACCTGGGTCCTTCTATACGCGCAGACCCAAAGGGCCTGTTTCCACTGGTCGCCCCACACCCCAAACCTGCAGCCAGCCCCTGAAGAGAGGAGAGGCCTGAGACCTCCGTGATAAACAAGCTACACAGTTACAAAGGGGCAGGTAGAACGGGGGTCACACAGTTATGCAGGGCCTGAGTGGGTTACCCAGGGCGTGAGTTACACAGCTACGAGGGCCTGAGTTAGTTAACCAGGGTGTGAATTACCCAGGGCGGGAGTAGAACCTGAAACCTGCAGCTGCGTATCTGCCCGGAAACCCTGAGAGCGCAGCCCAAGCGTGAACACAGACCGACGACCTGAACGCGCCTGCCACCCACCTATGGTGCAGTTTGAGGTGATCTTCCTCCTTTTGGGGTTGTGCTTCAGCAGTTCGAGCTCCCGTTTGGTTGGTTCCCAGGTAGAAAACTTCTCCCCCACACCTAAGCGGGCGAAGGACAGTGCCAGGGCTGTTAGCTCCAAGCCCAAGTGTGCTCACAGACACGGGTTAGGTCACGGATTTCTAACAGTCTGCACTTTAGAGGAGCATCCCTGCGCTGAACAGAACACCAAGGAGCCCCTTCTAGATGGCGTGGGGACAAGCAGGTTGCCCATGAGACGGCGCAGCGCTCCGAGGCAGCAGCCCCTACACAGCCACTAAGAGGGAGGCTCCCCGAGCACACCGCTCACACAGCCCTGCAGCAGTCCTGTGGGTGCTTGCCTGAGAGGGAGCGAAATGGACAGGGAGATGAACTTTGGAGCAAACTCAGCACAGACCCGACCGTGGACTGGCTGTGTCCCACCTGACTCGAACCAAAGACGCCATTGGTGTGAATGATAAGCAGCATCCCATGTCTGGGGACCAGCAGATGGCGTAGCAGTTACACCGCTGGACTCTCACATGGTGAACTGCGGTTCAAGTCTCGAACCCGGTAGCTTAAAAATCACATGGTGTATGTGTGCAGGCATATCCAAGATCCTGAGAGAAGAATGGAGAAGAGATTGTGGCACGACCATGCCCTGGGGGGTGACTTCTCACTTTCTCTCTCACTCCCCCATCCCCCAGTGCACATGCCCTAAAGCTAAACCTCTAAAAAAATACTAAAAGCAGCACGCATCACCAGCCTTGAGGAGTGGGGACCTGGCTCTGTTAAATGTGTCCCATTTTCAGAGGTACTTGTTCCATTCTACCGAAAATGTATACACAATTCAATACACTAGGAACAGATAGTATTTTGTGAGTAGAAGAAATTACAAAATGATTCCAGAAAACCACAGTTCCGGGACCTCCAGGTCTGAGCTCCATAGTTCCAGTGTTCTGCACGAAGAAATCGTACACTCACGCTGAGCTTCGGCGGTACTTTTCTCTTTCCAAGTTTACTTTTTCCCTAAGTGAGAGAGGCAGTGAGACAGCACCCCCGGCATGCCCTCATGCCACGGCCCAGCCCCATCTCAGTCAGCCAGGCTCACGGAGCGAGCATCTGATGTACTCAGGGAGGCATCTGGGTGTGGACCTGGAACCTTCCCAGTCTCACAGGGCCGCACTTACCCTCAGGCCACCATCTGGCTCCAACATGGTTCCATATTTGAGCAGAAAAGAACAGGAAATACAAATCAAAGCGACTTCTCCCCAGGAAGAAAAGAATCTCATTTGTCAAAATAATTCTCATCATAGAGGGCACCTGCTTACTCTTCTGTTCTCGAAAACTGGGTTGTTTTTTTTTTTTGGAGAGGTTTACGCTATAGGGTGTGTGCACTCGCCAGACAGAGACAGACAGAGAGACAGAAAGCGAGAAATCACCCCCCAGGAGGGGTGGTCACACCGCAATCCCTTCTCCATTCTCCTCTCAGGATCTTGGGCACGCACGCACACGCGCCCGGCGTGAGTTCTAAGCCACCGGGTCCAGGACGCGAACCACAGTCGACTACATGGGAGTCCAGCGCCATAGCCATTATGCTAACTGCTGGTTCCCAAAAACTGGGTGTTTTTAATGCAGGACAATCAAGGCACGAGCCTGTAAAGTAGGTGCCGGGTGCGCACGCTCCCTTTATAGACACAGATGGTCCTGCGACTTGAGAAACCTGCTCACATCGCTTGGGACAGACCCACCTGTCACTGTCATTGTGAACTGAAAGCATGTGGAACTGAAAACTGGGGGAAAAAAAGAACGAAAGAAAGACAAGAAATAAAAGAAACAAAGCAGGGAAATCAAAAGGAAAGAGATCCCGGACCACATGGTCTTGCCACGCTGGTGAAGCCCGTGCCCGAGTGCCTTGGGCATGGTGGGCAGAAGGGCACCTCCGAAACTCCCGGGGTGCTGCAGGTGTCTCCTCCGCCCTCCTCCACCCCATCATGAATGGCTGACTCCTGCTGCTCTAAGTTTCTGCCCTCACAACCAACTAAATGGATGGCATATGATGAGCCTGCCACGTCCCGGAGATTGCGGAAGACCTCAGGCATCCAGGCCCAGGGCTGCCCTCATCACCTAGCCACGAACCCCTTGTCCACAAAACCCCACGGAAGCTCCCGGCCCGCCCTTCAGAGCCCGCGTAACTGCATCTGGCCCCCTCTCTCGGACCGAGCAAGCCTTTACTCTCCGAGTCTGTGAGTTCTCCTGGGGCCGGAGCACAGGCCACCGCGACTTTCTGAGAGAGAAAGCAGAGCAGGCCCAGCTCGCTGCCCCGCAATGGAGCCACAGTGGATCGGGATCGGCTCCTGGGCTGGCCTGAAGCATGCGGGGTGTGCGGCGTGGGCACCTACGATCCCGGCTGGCTGGGGGAGAGGGTCGTGGCTTGTAGAGACCCTGTCCTGGTGCGTCTCTCACACTACCTGTCCTTTGCTCATGACAAAAATAAACTTTAAAAAAGAGGACCGAGCAGTGACAGCAAACAAGAAACCAGTCCCAGTGCCCGGAGGGGCCTCCACACAGGGCGGGGACACCTGGGTGGCGCTCCCACCTTCCCTCTGGAAACATCTCTGCTGCAAAGGTTTAAATCACCAGAATTTTAAGAGATTCTACAATAATTTGATCAGGAAAATGGTCCACCCTGCCCCACAGGGAACCAAATTTTTTTTTTTTAGGTTTTTGTCCTAGGGCATGTGCACTCCCCCCAGAGAGACAGAAAGGAAAAGTGAGAAATCACCCCCCAGGGGGATGGCCATGCCATAGGCCCTTCTCCTCCGGCCTTCTCCTGAGATTTGGGGCAGGCATGCGCATGTGCCCAGTGCGATTTTCAAGCCACCAGGGTCCAGGACTCGAACCACGTCAGCTGTGTGGCAGTCCAGCACTTTAACCACACCACCTGCCGGCCCCAGTACGCTTATTTTTAACATTGCTGTGGAGAGCTGCCTTCTAGAACAGTGCACAGCAGAGGTAACCACTCTTCCACGTAAGAGGGCGTGCCTTGCCGGTGCTGCTCCAGCTCGGCTCCGTGCCTGCGGCCGTGCCCGTGACTGCAGTGCACCTGCCCTCCTCGGCCCCAAGGGGACCCAGGCACCAAGGTGCGGGAACAGGTCGGACAGACAGCTGCAGGGCTGTGGCCTCCTGCCTCTTCCCGGCCTCACTGCCTCCGCGGGAACAGGTCGGACAGACAGCTGCAGGGCCGTGGCCTCCTGCCTCTTCCCGGCCTTGCTGCCTCCAATCACATCGGCCCAGGAGAAGAGTGGACGGGGTGGGGGTCCCTCCCCCACCACACCGACTGTCCTGCGCAGACTCAGGCTGCCCCCCGCCCGCTCCCCCTAGAGCTTCTCTTCCTGAGTTCTGCCCTTGGGTCAGGAGGCAAACCGGGCGGGCAAACTGGAGCAAGCTGACCTTGCACTTTCCAGGCTCTCCGCTGCTCCTCCTTGGCGATGAGCTCCATGTCTCTGTCGTAGATGTAGTCCTGGCACAGGAAGCAGTATATGCCTCCGTACATGAGATCCACGGCTGCAGAGCACACGACATTCAATCAGGGATGCGTCGGGACAGCTAGACCCAAGTAAGGCAGTTCCCCTCCTCCCCACCACAGGGCCCTGGGACAGGACTGCCTCTGGGGCAGTGTCCGGGGGGGGCTGCACGCTTTCCCAGGAAGGAGAGGCGCCATACCCGCATCTTACAAAGGATCAAATGACCCTCAGCCTCGGCACCCACGTCTCTTTCTGACAGTGTGCTACCTAAAACAGTATTTCGCTGACTGGTTTCAGGCCCCAGGACTCCTGCCCTGGCAGAGTTCCTCCATGCCAGAGTTCCTACCACTGCCACATGGAGCAGCGCCCACACCTGCCAGTCACTTCTGCTGCTCACGCCAAGGGCAGCTGCGAGGCTGGCCCCCAGCTCGATCCCCACAGCCTACTGCACGGCTCCCCGTGGGTGTGTGGGTCTGAGCACTCTCTCAACTGCCTGTCTACAAAACAAGCTGAGTAGTTGGACTCTAATTACTCGTTATCACTGTGCAGATTGCAGAGATAAAATCCCGAGCACCTGGACAGTACCCTTCAATCTGACAAGTAAATCTACGTTCAGGGGTGGGGGCAGGCGGGCTTACACCCCACTCTCAGATACTCAGGAGACAGTGGGACACAGAGGGCGGGTTCGGAATAACTGGCACCAACCCGACCTCTTCCTTGCTAGTTCTGCACCGTTGATAAAAACTCCACTTCCCTGCACCCGCCTCCCCTTAAGCAAAAAAGTGACAGCAACAGTATTAATGCCCCAGGCTTGGGTGACATTTAATGAGTCCACAGAGCTTAATCTCACCTCCTGATTAACAGCAGTGTTTTCAAATCAAATAGTTCTACTACAGTTGGTGTCTTAAATTACTATGACTTGCATGAACACGGTGGCAGGTCTGTAAAGTCCTCTGCATAGCAATTTAAGAGTTCCACGGCTACCTTTTGCCATTCTAAAAAATGACAAAATTCCAACCAACGATTTTGAAGTCCCCTGCAGAGCTGTTAGGAGGGCTCAGCCCATGGCCTGTTAGAACTACAAATTCATAAGCAATACATAGTTCTGACACGTGGCTTTCAAAGAGAAAGTTTGTAAGAAGGACAGGAATTTCCAGGAAAGATGAAACATTCAGTGAAAAATATGCCAAGTGTTCAGCAGACAGCAAAAAATACTAGTGTGGAGAAAGCGTGTAGTTTTTAATATTTCAGTGCATGTCTAAGTCCCTTAGATTAAGTGTTTTTCCAGGCATTTTCACACAGCCACGGTCCCCCTGTGTACAACTGATGCTGATCAGGGTCCGAGATCATTCAGGGGGAAAGAACCGTCTTTTTTTTTTTGCTACAGGGCGCATGCTCTTGCCAGACAGACAGAGAGACAGAAAGTGAGAAATCACCCCACAGGGGGGATGGCCACGCCGCAATCCCTTCTCCTCCGTTCTCCTCGTGAGATCTTGGGCAGGCACGCACACGCGTCCAGCGTGAGTTTTAAGCCACCGGGTCCGGAACGTGAACTGTGGTCGACTACGTGGGAGTCCAGTGACATAGCCATTACGCTAACTGCTGGTTCCACAACAGTCTCTAACAAATGGTGCTGGAACAAGTGTGTCTACACATACAAAAAAATGAAGTCAGATCCCTATCTCACACCACATACAAGATGTAACGCAATACACACCACGGAGTAAGAGCTAAAAAAATAAAATCCTTACAAGAAAACCTAAAGGTAAATCTAAGACTTGAAATTTGGCAGGAGGGTCTTTTGCCTAAATATACCTATGTGATTGGTATCTTAATCCTGCACATTGACACCAAAACACAAACAAAACAACAAAAAACTGGACTATCAAGAAACTGAAAAAAGCAATCTTCGAAAGGGGAGAAAACATTTGCAAAATATATATCTGCTAAGGGTCAACTGTCAAGAAAGTGTCATGAATGGGGGGAATATTAAAAAAATAAAAAATGAACTCG